ACAGTAACAGTAACAGTAACAGTAACAGTAACAGTAACAGTAACAGTAACAGTAACCCTAACAGTAACAGTAACAGTAAGAGTAACAGTAACAGTAACAGTAACAGTAACAGTAACAGCAACAGTAACAGTAACAATAAATGTAACAGTAACAATAAATGTAACAGTAACAGTAACAGTAACAGTAACAGTAACAGTATATGATCTTCATCTTATAGTATAGTTTATAGGGAGTTGTCTGAAAAGTCTAAGCAAAAACTTAACAGCACAGCTTGAATAGAAAGCTAATCTTAACAGTCTTAGTAACAGCAATGTAAATGTATTCCGAATACTATCCTAACAATAGCACATCTCAGCTTACATATGTTTATGAGAATCGAACTCTATAAACAAATATTCTAGACAAGAATTAACACAAGCACGACAGCAACAACAACAGTAACAGTAACAGTAACAGCAATAGTAACAGTAACTTTAACAGTAATAGTAATAATTCCCATCTCAATGTTGATAGAGACTGAAATTAAGGCCTCCCCACAAGAAATCAACAATTTTTTGCAACTTTTGAGTTGTTAACATTCCTTTAACAGCACACTAACATTAACAGCGACCGTAACAGTAGCAGCAAATGCTATAACCGCAATTAAGTGGGCCAATTAGCTAGGTTATCTTGCGCGATTGCGCAGCGAAAGTTGCGACTTTGCAAGTTTGTTGCTTCTTCGTCTTGTTGTTGTTGTTGTATTTTCTTTTTTCTTTTTTTTTTGGCACCTGAGCCGCGGCTGTTCTAAGTTGCGGCCACTTTTCAAGGACGTCTCTAAACTCCAAAAAACCCAAAAGCAATAATAAGGCATGTGTTAACAACAACAACAACAAGAACAACAACAATAACAAGAACAACAGCAGAAAGAAGTGTAAAAGAAAGCTTGAAACAAGAACAACAATATTGTGAGAAAAGTCGGCGCAAAAGTCGCCAAACAAAACTTTTAGCCGCCGCCGCAGCCGCGCCGTCGACGTCGTCGCTGCTTGGCCGGGCAAATGTACTTTTTAACCCAAAACATGGCCAAAGAAAGTTGGGCGACGTCTGCTGGCAAGCGAAACTTTTATTATATTTAAATAATCGCGCTGTTGGCTGTTGCACAAATAGCAAAGTTATGTTTTACGCCTCGCTTTGGCTTGCTCCTGCAACTTCCGTTTTCACTGGGAAATTGAGCATTAGGCATTTTTCCTGATATTTTGTTGCTATTTCGCTGCATTTCGGCATTTCGCATATCGCATTGCTGCCTTGGGCTGGCCAATGATCGAGTGCAGCGACCTCTGTCGTTTGTCATTGCAAGGCCGTTATTCAAAATGGCGGCACGGCAGCAGCAGCCAATCGGCGTTCGCTTGCAGGCAGCCGCTGCAGCCGCTGGTCGACTGCATTGAGCGACGAATCAGCGCGCAGCAGCTAAGGCAGCGCCACCCCTAAAACGTACATTTCACCTCCCACTCTACGCAAGCCAGGTCCCTAAATACACACATGTGTATGTGTGTGTGTGTGTGTGTGTGTGTGTGGTCATGCGCAGGCAGCTGCAGCCATGGGTGTGGGCCTCTCCGCCTACCCAGTCAATAGAGTCGGTCTCTGGATATTCATCCGTCTGGCCGCTGTCAGTCGCAGTCGGCACCAAAAACGATGCCGAGGCAGCAAATCGCAGAGCGCCATTCGATTTGCTGCTGCTGCTCCTAAAACGCCAGCTTGCCAGCTACCCCGCTGCAAACTGTGCTACGACGCCGACGCCAGCGCCAGCAGCGACGCCGGCTGCGTAACCTCTGTGGCCTCGGCACGAACTCCTATGAGAGCGAACCGAAAAAAAAATACAACAAGCGTTTGATGTGTAAAGAAAAAATGCCCCAACAGCAGAGGCAAGGCAGCGACTGCGACTGCGACAGCAGCAGCGACAGCTTTAACAGCAGTTGGCTGTCTCGGCTGCCTTTGCTCTCTCTCGTGCTCGTGCTCGCTCTCTCGCTCAAGCCTGCCAGCGCACTCACACGAGGTGTTTTCGTGTGCATTCGGCATGCGCTCGTGTGTTTGTGTGTCTGTTTGCTGAGCGTTTTTTTTTTCTTTCTTTCCTTTGTGCTGTTATTTTTTCGGATTGCTGTGTTTTTTTTTTTCGAATGCTACTGGCCGGGCGTTCTTATTGGAATTTCAATTTGGGCGCGCGCACACATACGCAGGCTTGCAGGCGCACATACATACGTGTATCTCTCTCTACGTGCGTGCGTGTGTGTGTGTGTGCGTGTGTGCCGCAGCACCTCAGCAAATTGAATTTGAGCAATTGGCAATGGCAGAACGTATCATTGAATCAATGAATCACAATCGACGCACACTCACACACACACACACATATTTATATTTATATACACATATGGTCAAATTAATAGGTGTGAATTTTGTTTTTTTATTTAAATGGTGATAACATCTATATTTTTTCATATATTTTAAAAATTC